CTTGAGTGTGACCTTGGGCTTAGCACAGAGGACAAGTGAAACTGAAGCCACAGGCTGCTTGGAAATAAGCATCCATCTTCAGATGGGCGAATAGGCAGTTCTCACTCATGCGGTGACCACTCATAGTTCCCTAAGCCAGTCTTGTAAGACGGCTGTGACCAAAAAGAAAAAAAACTGTGTTTCTTCCACTCTTTTACTGTTTTAGTTATTGGTGTACATGAATGACCTTACTGCAAAAGGCTTGATGTTTTTTTGAATAAATACAGCCATGCAGGGTGTATAGGATACTGTGCGCACATTTCTTAACACACCTGCGGACACACCAGAACAGTTTGTATTCAAGGAGCTGGCCCGCTGGATGCCTCCGCTGCAGCCCCCCCGCCCCCCGAGCACGCCAAGGCCCCCCACCCCGCCCCCCGCCCCCGCCCCCGCCACGCCAGCGGAAGTCCCGCCTCACGGGTAGCAGGTTTACTCCTTCTTTCATGCCTCCCTCTGGGACTCCCCAGGGGCTCCCTTTGGGCTCTTTTTTATGTGTACCCCACATGCAGTTGGACAATTTTCTGCTTTTTCCTTCTTGTACCTTCCAGGAATCTCTCAGACGATGCTGGGTGGAATCTTTCATGTGCGGTGGAATTGCAACATATTCACTGGCTGTTCTCACATCAAAGCCCGTGGGAAAAAGAGCGTGGGACCAAAATTCTTCCTTGGAGGTCTCCTCAGTGGCCCAGAACTGGAAGGGGTCGTGGTTCCCCGGGGCAGGCAGTGGATGGGCACGGACTGAGTCCTGTCTCATTGGAAACCACGGAAGAGGAGCGGCGATGTGGGAATGGCGGCCGGGCTTTTCAGTGCCAGAGACGAGCAGATTCACGTCTGCTGATCACACGCACTGGGGGCCACTGTTTGACGAGTGGGAGTCCGGGCAACCTCAGGGGCTTCCCCCCGGAGCCTCAGCCCCAGGTGCCCTTAGCTTCTCACTCCCAGGGTGTCCCTCGGGGCTGCACGTATTTGACCCCCACATAGAGTGAGGGGTCTCAGTGTGTCCCACAGGCCTCCTGGGCTACAGACAAACCGGAGCGCAGGCCTGGGCAGCCGTCCTTACGTATTCTGTCTGCGTGCCCGGAGCCCCCCGGGCCAATTAGGGTGCTCGCCTATTTGGCCAACCAGGACACACCTGACTCTCTGCTTGAAACCAGCCCGACGCCCTGTCACAGGTTAATGCTGGCCTCCCCCTGGGGGTTTCCTTACCCCTTTCGCCTGGCATCCAACCCCTCCCGGGCTAAGCCCGCCTTCCCAGTTAGTCAGCGTCCTCACTGACACCCGCAAACCCACGCCAATTCCGATATGTATCCTTACTCCTCACATGTGAAACGCTCTCTCTTTCCACTGTCCTCTCCCTGCACCACATCTAACATACAGATGCACATTTATATCCATATTACTATCTATTCCCATGTCTCTATAACAACACAGCTAGAATAGCCCCTCTTGCTGCTTCGTCACTCACTTGCTGCACATCTTAGAAACATCACCCCCTCTCATTGAATCTGTTTCCTTGTTCATAAACTTGGGATAAAAAAAACAAACCAAAACACAGCATTAAACCCATCAAACTGTAGGGAGAAATAAAGGTGTAAGTTGATTACTTAGCACAGTCTTATCGGACAAAGAGGAGGGTTCAATCAGCGTTAACTATTTTCCAGAATTCTTTCCACTTCCAAGTTGCCCTCAGTCCCCCACCCCGACATGCCTCTTTCCTGAGCCCTACTTGTTTCTCCGAATCTATGAATATTTGCGCTCATGCCGTACCGCTCAGCGCTCCGTGCGCATCACTCAGCAGGAGGCACCCCTCTCCAAGCGTGTCATCTATAATCGGTCATTATCGTCCTCGTATTGACAACCAGAACCGTGTTATGTATTTCTCTTATATGTGTTTCCCTGTGTAATGCGGGACAGTTCATGACATATTATACAAATAATTTCCTAGCTTCCTGCGTTATTCCAAGGGAAAGTCAGTGGCTCATTTGCTTAGCAGCTTAGAATATTTATATTTCCTGAACCTCTTTTTTTTTTTTAATGCTTTCCTCTCATAACACCTCTTCCCCCGTACACGAGCAGGAAAAGTTAACTAGGTCTTCTGTAGTTTCCAGAAACTATTCTTTCCTGCTCCTCCAAGAGCAAGAAAGCCATGATCTCATATTATCCAAATGGGCCCAGAGGCCTGACGCAGTTGCTAATTATTGCTCCGCTGACGTTTTCTGATGCACTTCTGTTCTGCTTGCCGTGAGCGCGCGATGCCAACACCACCAGTTCACAAAGGAGACTTGGCAGGCAACAGCGCTTTATGCCTCGTTGCCATTTCAGGCATCGTATGGGCACAGGCCAGAAGACCCTCAGTCTGCGTTGTTGGCAGATGACCACTCCATGGAGTGCGTTTTAGTTGCCAGATCTGGTGATGGATGAGCTGATATCTATGAAAGCCTTCCACTTGGGTATTTTATGACTGTGAGATATTTTTCTTTTGCAGATGAGATGTCTGGATTGATAAGCATGACCCTTACTCACGTGTGAAATGACGCAAATACCCCACGGGTCATAATGCTAAGTCCAGTTTTTTCAGATGGCAAGTCCCTTCTTCATAGTCCTAGTTAATCCAAGTATTTTGGAAATTTGGCCTGGGAAAACATGCGAAGTTGAGCTTTTGCAAACCAGCTCTGCAATAGTTTTTGAGATGCGCATTCTCCTTTCAGGAAAGGCAACACTGATGAACATGGGTAATGGAAACGGCTCCAGATGTCACAAGCATGAACCGCTGGGCACGGCGCCCTCTGGGCTGCAGCCTTGAACTTCACGTCAGGGACAGGCCAGAGTGTTGTGATGCCAAAGAAAGACCATGTAACACAGGCTCGCCCACAAAAACCAAGTAGACAGATGGGCTTCTTAAATCAAGTGCTTTTAACTTTTGAACAAGTAAGGGTTTTCTTCCAAGCTGAATGTATAGATACACCCTAAGGGTCCGTGTCTGAAATTTCAAGCTTTAAAATATGACATAATTAGGTTTTGGAAGCTCACCATCAGAACATGTTGGGAGTAATGTTGCCTGTCCTCGGAGCACGTTGGAAACACTCGGCCTTCCCTGACGGGCCTCAGGTAAAGCCCCAAAGGGAGGTGACTTTAGCCCACTTACATTCCAATTAGTAAGTCAAAATAGTAACCGCTATATATCTTATTTAATCCTCAAAAGATTGGAGCGAAAGTTTTCTACCAAGAAAAAAAGTTGTAAACCTCATAAGTAGAATCTTTTAGATAGACACAGATTTTCTTAGTTGAAGAAAAATCATTCATTTCTAAAAACATGTCATAAACTCAGAACACATCACTTGTTTGGAAAACGGGTTTTGCAAAAACTGTCAGGTGCCCTTCTGGTTTCGGACGGTGGCACTGAAAGCCACTGCATGGGAATTGAGGAGCAGTCAGCGGGGGTGCGCGCCCAGGATGCTCCCCCCGCCCCCCCCCCCGACCATTGGTAAAGTGAAAGGCTACCTCAGAGACATCAAAGAGACAGTCCGACTTCAAGGTGTGACTTGAAGGGAAAAACGGGTTCGAGTAAGTCTGGGAAGCTTGGCATCCAAACTAAACGTTTTTACTGTAAAACTTCTCAGAGCCCTTAAAGTGCATCATGCTGTCAGCAAGAGGGGCGCAGGGGAGCACTGGTGCTTTGGCCGTGGGGTCCCTCTGTCACAGAGCACCTTAAAGGACTGGTATTTCCTGGCAGCCTGCTTTGGGAAACACAGCAATTGGTTTTTTGAGGCCTGAGACAGTGTCCGGGGGGTGAAGGAGCAAAGTGTGGCCTGGACAATGGCTTTGATTTGGTGGCTCTGTGGCTCCCTAGAGAACCGCAAGTGTGACAAAGAATAAGGTCCATGCAATTGCACGTCGCCCTGTCTTCTTCATTGTTCATTCATTTGCTCATTTATTCATTCACTGGGTCCTGCTGTGGGGCCAGATGCTGGAGATACAGAGATTCATGTAAAACGTTACCCCTGCCGTTAAGGAGCTTACTCTCTAGGGCGGCAGGGGCAGAGGGGGCCCATGAAACCACAGCAGGGTGCCGGGCTGGACCACCAGAGACGCAACGAGGGCGTGGCCGCTTCTGCCCGGGACTCTGACCACGGCATGAGTGGTCCGAGACACGGGGGAGGGGGGGGGGTCCTCGCAGACGGAGCAGGAGGAGCGTGCAAAGGCGAACGCCAGGAAGCCACAGGTCACATTTGGAAGGTTGCAAAATGCCTCCTCCCGCAGGGACCCAGCGTGGGAAGAAAGCCAGTGAAAGACAGGGTAGCTTCGTTGAGAAACATCCTTTAAGGATATGAGACTCGAGGCAAGGCGACCCCTTAGGAGTCTCTGCCCGTGGTCCAGGGGAGGGCAAGCGGCAGCTCCACCAGGCAGCGACAGTGGGGGTGGCAGAGACTGACTGACAGAGGGGGGTGTTAAGGAGACAGGAGGATGGCACTGGGGCGGGGCGGGGCGGGGCGGGGCGGGGCGGGGCGGGGCGGGGCGGGGCGGGGCGGGCTCGAGGGCCACCCACAGGGGCCGACTGGGCGGCGGTGCAGAGGGATGGCAGGGCCAGGCAAGAGGGTAGAAAAGCAAGAGATGGGGAAGACGGGGGACAATCAGCTTTAGGCGTGCTGAACGGGGGGCACCCAAGAGACGTTCGCTGAGGCCACTCGGCTGGCACCTTACCGGTTCCGTGAGGGAGCCATCTGGGCAGCAGATGGAAGTTTTGCACATTGCTTGCCTGTGTCTTCAATGCCTTTTTTTTCTTTTTAATTAGAATTTAAACATGTTTAGGTCTCTGTACAGAGGGGAAAGGGGGAAGGAGACAGGGAAGAATAAGGGGAAAGGACAGGAAAAGAAAGAAGGAGCGAGGCCCACGGAGCTGCAGCCACTCCCCTCCTCTGGGCACGGCCCACCCTCCTCGCCAGCGCCTTGGGCTCGCACTCACCGCTCCGCCAGGAGTGTCTGGACGAGGTCATTGAAGATGACCTCCTTTGGGCGATGTCCAGTGGATAAGACCTGGTTCTCCTTTGACTTCCTAGGAGCCTTTGATGTTATTAAACGCTTCCTCCTCCTTGAAGCGTCACACGGTGGCTTCTGCGAGGTCCCAAAGCCTGCTGCTCAGACCTCGGGGTGCGTTCCTGCCCTCCGTCTGCCCCTTCCACGAGGGCTCTCCACAGGGTTCTGTGCAAATCAGCCTTCTCATTCTGCAAACTCTCCCTGGGCAAGCTCCACCACCCACAGCTCCAGCGGCTGACCTTAGGGCGGCGGGGACTGCCGCAGCAAAGGCGCCCCAATACGTACCGCCTCGGAGTCCACGGACTCTGGTTTCTGGACATTCAGGAAGCGACTCAGCCTTCTCACCTCACATCCCCAAACCTGCTGATCTCTCTTTCTCCCAGCCCTCCCCACCTGCTCTCCCTCTTCCTCCTTCCCCAGTTTGTTGGCAGAATATTTGTTTATTTGTTTGTTTTTCCTTCCTCGGCTCTTCCCTCTGTTGGCAGAATAGAAACTAGAATGCCCCAGACATGTTTACACACTTCATCTCATTTAAACTGTTATGCCTACTTTTAGGAGAGAAAACCAAGGTTTGCAGAGAGTTGACTCACCCGCAAAAGAGTGCAGGGCTGGACTCAAGTCCAAGTCTGTCAGATTCCAAAGCTGCACATGTTCCCCTCTGTGCACACCGCTTTTTTTCCTCACTCAGAGACTGAGGTTTAGACAAGAACAAATAAACCTTTGGTAAGAGACGGGGTTGGGATTCAGTCCCAGGTCTGTAAGCCTAGAGCCAGGGCTCGCAGGCCTTCACAGGTGTGTGTGTCTCTATTCCATGTCCTCATCAACATTAGGGATGATTTTCCCAGGTTCCTAATTCTCTCCACCTGCAAATTGATGGGCAGCTGCCCACGAGGGACCTGGGCTGGGTCCTGAGGAACACCACGGGTCACTGCCGATGTCCTTCACACTCCTTCTGGCTCCCGAGTCTCCTAGAAAAGGCCCACCTTACCTTTCTAGATGCTGAATGGCTCCTGCCTGAATTCTTGAGTCAACATCGTCAAAAATATATAAAGTAGGATTTCCACCCCCAAAAGGGCTGCACGACAGACAGCCCTTTGCCTTTCTGAGCACAGGCTCCCCCGGTCCTAGAGAAAAGGCTCCTCTATTGTGGTCTTCAACAGGCACAGCCCATAGCCCTGGCGAATTAAAATAGCCTCCCAAAATCTGTTTCAAAATGAATTGTAAATGGAATGGAGTGAGATGGAGAGAAAACACTGGATGGTAATGTCTCCTCTATCCTCTACTCTTTTCTAAATAAATTTAAAAGTCTTCCTGGGTCCAAAAATACCCTGAATTCCTGGGTGTCTTGCAGGCCCACGCATGTGGGCAATGCACTACGCTGGCTACAGACGTTAACCCCAGCAGCGCCTTCTCGACAGAGCCCGGGAGCCGCTGCGCCTCCCAGCAGAGCCAGGTCACGGAGAAAGCATCCCAGGTTATTCCCCCTGGAAATCCCCCATTATTCCCTGCGCACACAGCTTTGCCATCCAAGCCCAGACCTGGCACGGAAGCGCCGCGCTGCTGCCAAAGGCGTCTTTATAAAGTGTGGGCCCTCGCATGCAGGCACAACCAGGGGCTCAGGGATACCAGGAGCCTTCCAAGGGCTCCCGAGCCCATTACAAGTTGTCCTTTCTGGGGGCAGGCGCCTGGCACCAGGGCAGGGACAGAGGGCGGGTGGGCCCAACTCCGCGCTGACTACTTCTTCTTTCCTCCTTCACGCTCCCCCAACTTCAACCTTGAAAATATACTTTACTATTGAATAGTTTCACTTCAAACAATTTAATTAAAATTATAGATGCACATGAAAAAATTAAACGATATGGAAGGAAAGATAGGGAAACAACCATCTTCCACATGACCTCTCTGTACCCCGGGCCCCCTGCCAAAGCTGACCGATCGCTCACGATTTCCACTTTCAGTCATGTTGAAAGTTACCGCTCTCAGGCAGAACCTACTTTACACAAAGCCTGTCTTCTATTTCTTGTTTAGCAACTCAACAGTATCCACGGAAACTCTTTTGTAAAAGATACAGATTATTTCCCCATAATCCTCTGAGTATTTTGACTACAGAACAATACTCATTCATCTCTGTATCTTGTTCGAGAAAGCTTGGACAGCGTCTGCTGACCCAGCCGTGGGAGAATATTGACCTCCCTCCTTCCTTGCTCGCCCTTCCTTTTCCCTTCCCTCTGTTAAAAGTGATAAGACCTCCAATGTGGACGCTGAAATGGACAGTTCCTAAGAGGGGGAATAAATCTTGCTGACTCTCAGGTGTCCCCCTCACAAGTCCATTGTCAACCGAGGCTTTCAGGGGGCTGCTGCCACTTGATTGTCATGACGGCTCGCCCACTCTACCTGCTTTCTCCCTGTTCGCTTCTGTACTAATCTTCCCTGAGCTAAAGCCACAAACCAACCATCAGAAAGCTTTTGGCCACCTCCTGACCAGAACTGAAAGTTGGAGAAGAGCGAGGAGTGGAGCGTGCCGAGCCGGAGACAGTGCACGGAAGACCCCGTTCCTGTCACTGTGCCGTCAGCTCCCTGTGGCGGCTGCTGCGAACCAACCAACCGCAAGGTGTGTGGCTCGCACCCACAGAAATGTATTCTCGTGGCTTAGAGACCAGAGGCCCAAAGTCAGGGTGCCGGCAGGGCCGTGCGCCCTTCAGAGGCTCTCTCGGAGACGCCCCGTCTCTTCCACCTTCTGGGGGCTGCAGGGGCCCCAGCGCTGCGGCAGGGCCACCCCGCTCCCCGCCTCTGTCCTCCTGCGGCCCTCCCCCTCTGTCTCTCCTCTGCGAGGCTCTTACGAGGACATCTGTCCTTGGAGCCGGGGCCCACCCAGGCAGTCCTGGATGATCCCATCCTGAGACGCTTCCCTTAACTGCATCTGCAAAGGCCCTTTCCCTCGGGAAGTCACAGTCTCAGCGCCGAGGCTGACGATGTGGACATATCTTTTGGGGCGGCCATGCCGCAACTCACTATATGGCTCCCGGAAAAATACATTTTGACGTGAAAATGAAGGAAGAGTACTTTCCCCCTCTTCGTCCTCTAAACATAGGACAGGGAAGGAAGCAAACATTTGGAGCCTCTTGCCCAAACCAGGGAAACTAAATGAAGAAACTGGATATTCTTTCTCCCTTTCCAGCCCCACAAAATGAACAAATTATTTTCTCCAGCTCTCCCTTCCAGCTCTGGGTAGGCCTGCATTTCTCGTTTCTCCCTGGGAATGAAAATCCCACAACAACTCTGAAGAGGGGTGTTCGCAGAGTATCGCCACCCTGCACAGGACAAGGGGTCATTGTGAGTCCAGGACGGGCGGCTCCTCTCCCGCTGGACACAACGCAGATCCAACCAACGCAACCGGAAACCTCTGGGTCGTACCCCGCTGCCGTCCTGCTGCCCGCGGACAGACCCTTCCAGGGGGTTGCTGGCCCCTGAGCGCATCCAGCCACCATTCCAGGAACCGGCCCCGGGGTGGGCTCGCTTTCCCCAAACCCACCGAAATGCAACTGTGAGCACAGAGCCGAGAGGCACTGGCGGCTTCTGGGAAGCAAGAGCACAGGCCTGGGAGCCCCGTGCCCCACACCCCACCCACCAGCTGTGACACTTGGGGTAAATCACTTTCTCCCCAGGTTTGTTGCCTCCTCTGTCAAATCTGGAGGCCACCCGACCCTGGTTTTCTCCCCGCCCCCACCCGCTGGCCTCCCGCCTCTCCTTCCTTCCCCCATTCCAGCAGCGCCCGGACTCCAGCCAGACACCTGGCATGGTGGCCCAGACGCGAATTCGTCTCTCTCCTGGGTGCCTGTACACCCCACCAACTGTGTTGGATCTTTGTGGGGCCAAAAAAGAGGCTATTTTTGAAAGCCTGTCTTTGAAACAAAGACAGAGCTTCTTTTAGCAGAATGTGTGGTGAGTAATGACCGCCTGTCCGTGGGGGAACCCTGGACTGCCCCCCCCACACTCTGTTTCTGGAGAGAGCTAAACAGACCCCCACGGTGTCTGGCCGCCCCGAGCAGAGGAGCCCGGGGGTGTCCTGCACCCTGACGCCGCTCACCTCCATCCTCAGAGCCCCTTAGAGAGCAGCTCAGCGCACGGATCTTTTGGGAAGTTGACTTGGGAGTCCTTCCACAGATACCAATGTGCTAGGTAACATTTTCAATTATCCCTGATTTAATGTGCTCCTACAGCAAATACAGGAAAATTCCAAAAGGATGTGCTTCGCCCGCCACCATTAGTCATCTTCATCGGTGCGATGAAGGCTTGTGGCCATCCTGCAAGCCTGGTGGCCAGCACATGGCTTCAGGGGTTCATCACGGGCGAGGCGTCCAGCTCCACATCAGGTATCGGTGACAACACCCGTGGGTCCATCTCTGTGGCTTCCATCCACGCATGTGGGGAGACAGACCAGACCTGTTTCGCCTTCATCGTTCCATAATCCCACAATTCTGAGGTTCTAGGGCTTGTAGAAAACTTTAGGAGTTAAAGCTAACGAGAAAGTATAGAGGTCTTTGCGACGACCGCCTCCTCCAATGATCCCAGCAAACAAAAGCGAGGCACGTCCTGCTCCTTACAGAGCTCTTGCTCAAGGGCTCTGTTAACTGAAGCACCCGGGGGAGTTAAGGCACGTGGCAACTCTGTCTCCCGGGGCTTAGCTTCTCTGCCTGTAAAACGGGTTTGATAGGTCAGCGCTGGCCTGTGTCAGCTCTTGCTGATTTGTGTCAAAATGGGGAAGGGATGGCAGAACAATGTCATTCTGTTTTTTGCAGTGTATTATTATTTGCCTATATACTATTTCTAAATCCTGAAGCCATTTCTACAATCTGCAGGAGCCCCACGTCCTTTTGTAAGTGAGGGTAACGGAAGGGAAGGTTTCCTCGCCGGGGCTCCGGGTGGCCGTTAGACTTGGAGTGTCCTTCTGAGCTGTATTCTCTGGGTCCATGAAGTACAACCCCGCGGAACCACGAGGCCCACAGATTTCTCATTTGAGTCTGCTGTTCTCGTTTCCAGCAACCCTACCTGTGAGCTGTTTCGGCAAATTCCTTACAGGGTTTTTTCCAGGACCTTGGTCTCTCGGTCTTTCTCTTGTCACGCAAGCCCTGCTCCTCCAAGGCGCCAGGTCCACCTCCCCGGCCCCGAACATCCTCCCATCCAGGCCAGGCTCCCCCCTCCCTCTAAGTTCAGGAGGAGGGCGGCCTGCATCACACGCCTTTTCCGAGTGGCTCCACGCTGCCCCAGTCCCTGTAATCTAAGTGATTACGGCCCGATAGCATCCGTGCAGAGCAATGGGACCGGCTCACATCAGGAGGCGGAGGCTGCGTTGGACACTTTTCTCCTTTTCTCGTCAGCGATGCCTTTCTCTACCGAATATCCTGTAACCGCCTCTGAGACGTGAACAAAGCAGAGCATTTAGCTCTAGAGGACGCCTTGGAGGCGAAGGAAGGGACTTGGACAAGGTCACAAAGCCGGTGCAGGGAAGAGCAGGGACCCAGCCACCTGCCCCTTCCTGCCAGGGCCGGAAACGTGGGCCACAACACCCTCCGGTCACAATTCCTGGGAGAACGTCCTCTCGTGTCCATGGACCAGTTTAACCCCTGCGGAGACTGGCTACCAGGTAAAGCCGTTTCCCAGAAGTCACCTCTGCCCAGAATGGATCAAAACCCTCTGTGCCAGCCATTGGTCGGGCAGGTCCATGGCTGGGGCCTTGTAGCCTGCCCCTCCCCCGCTCCACGTGCGCACAGACTGGGACTGCGCCACCTAACGACTTCAGAAGGCTGCTCACCCCCGGAGCAGGCCCGCACGCCGGTTCAAGCCTCTCCGCCAGCTGCACGTGCCCCTTGGCGCCAACGCCTTACTTCTAACGTGCCGGGACTTCCACAACCAAACATGGATTTCACCGCAGTTATTTCGACTTGAGAGAAAGCGCAACTTTTGTTCAGACTGTAAAATACTGACCAGCGAAAGTGGCCTTTAGAGTTTAGCTTTAGTGGCCAATTTAAAAATTCTCCCATAGGAGAGACCTCACGATCCCGGGGCAATTTTGTCCCAGCAGCACGTGCGGGTCCCAGCCTCCATCGTTCATCCGTTCGGGCAGGTGGTGGTCGGTGTCCGGTCAGACGACTGTGTGGTGCCGGAAGCTCAGTGGCTGCCCCCACAACGTGAGACGGTTCTAGAACCCAGAGGAGCCCAGCAGCCCAACTGCTCCTGCCTCCTCCCACCCACGCACACTCACCGGAGCCGGCTGATTCCACAGCTGCGTTGGTGACGCGTTCCGGGCCACGTGAAACTCCGCGAGCCAAATGCTGGTGCTGATTCCTTACAGGCTCACAGCAGCTCGGGATCCTCAGCTGGCCCGTGTTAGGCACTGTGCCTCGGTGGGAAGGGAAACCATGAAGAGAAACCCCTCTCCTCTTTCCTGGGTGGGATAGAGCTCACCCCCCACCGCCATGGGAAAGCTGGACGTGGGAGTGCTTTGCAAATAACAAACACGGGTGGGAGGATTTGCCTGTGCGTCCATGTTCCCGACAAAGCCTTAGAGGGGGTGAGGAGTTCCAGGGATGAGGCCTCTGTGGGGGCCGGCCACTCCGAGGCCGCAGGCGAGCGGGCGAGCGGGCGAGTGCAAAGCTGACTCCACCCTCCCCCGTCACCCCTGGGATCAGATGCCCAGACAAGTGTTTCAGCGATAAGGGCGGCAGGGACTCGATAAGCACAAGTGCCAGGCGCTGCCGGACTGACTGTTCCAGCAGAGATTAGTGCGGCTGCCACAGCTGGAGCCGGGCTTGGAGGAGAGGCTTTTCCCAGGAAGAAAGGCAGGGCACGTTCACAAGGCTGGACAGAGGCTGCTGCTGCCTTTGGGATCCGTGGGCAGCCGGTTTGGGTGCAGGGCGTACGGAAGGAGTGGGAGGCCCTGGAACCCCCGTGGTGGCTGTGCCCCGGGTTTCCCCAAATGAGCCACCCTCCCCGCCTCCAGTTCCTCCAAGGGACACACCCTGCCTCTCCTTTGCCCAGCAGGCACCTCCCTGATGTTTGAGACCAGGGTCATGTGTCACTCTTCTGGGAAGCCCTCGCTGCCTCCCTGCCTGCCCCGTGCTGTGTCCCCAACCTTTTGGCACATGGCGGGACCAGGACTGGCCTGCTGGTTGCTCTCCCCACTGGGTGGTGGGGAGTCAAGTGGTACCCCAACACCCAGCTCTGGGCCCGGATTGCAACCAGCATGCACATTACCGTCTGAGGGTGAGGAGGGACGAGCTGGTGAACTCTGAAAGTTGTGGGGACAGACATGTTTTCTGCCCCCCGATGGGGACCTACAAAGGGTAGCGGGGAGCCTTCCTGCCTGGGAAGCCACAGGGGAAGATTCTATCCCCGAGGCTCCTTGGCAACCCAGGAAGTCAGGAAGGCCCTCCCAGGGCCTCGCTTCCTGTGTGGAGAACAAACACTCGGTTTCTCAGAGATTGTCACAGGACTGCCAGGTGTTACTGACACCTTCACCTTTGACCCAGAACCCCACTCCTGGGGACCTGTCCCATAGAAGTAAAAGAATATTCTAGCACAGAAAACATATACAAGGACACTTAGTGCAGCTTTGTTTGGTAGCAAAACACCAGCAACAGGGACTGTCAACAAGGGCATGGGGACAACTGTCACAGCCCCTTCCTACCGTGGCAGGGACTCACTGCGGTGGCCAGACTGAGGCCCGAGGGCTCTCCCTCCCCCTCCCCACCCTGCCCCTTCCTCCCCTTGCCCCGTTGTTGGGCTGAGCAGGACAGACAGCCACACGGGGCTGCTGGGGCCCGTCAGGGCAAGGAGGGCACCCTGAGGCGGGGAGGAGGGACGGGGTGGCCGCCTGGGAGTGTCAGGGCCCCAGGGAGTGAGCAGTGTCTGCTCGGTGGGGGAGGGGTGTCCGGGCTCCTGCCCCGCCCCCTGGAGCTGGGCCTGGGCTCTCAGAGCCTGGCAGGGTGAAGGGGCGCTCAGGCTGGGGTGGGCGCGTGCGTCCCGACATTGGTCAGGCGTCTAGGAGAGCGAAGAGGGACTTGGTTTGCCTGGGGCACAGCGCAGCGTGGGTGCGGAGCCCCAGCAGGGTGGGGAGGATGCGAGCAGGGTGGGGGTGCTGGTGGGCAGCGAGGGGGGTGTCCTGTCAGGAGAGCGGTGGAGGCGCCAGGGAGGTGTGCACACGGAGGCAGAAGTCAGCGCATTAAGGCTACGGAGGCGGATCACTCACCGCCAGGGATGGGAAGTCCCGAGAAGGAAAACGACAACCAGGATGAGCCGGGCGGGCTGAACTTGGAGTGCAGGTATCATTGTGAACTCAGAGTTGTCGGTAGACATGACGAGCGCCAATTCAAATGCGCGTGTGACCGGATGCACATGTATGTGCGTCCATGCACGTCTCACCTCCAATGCTGCCGACTGGGAGCTGCCCCCGCCAAGAGCGACGCGTGCACCGGGCACCCGGAGCTGGGCTGCTTTTCCTCCTCATGTACAGTTTTTATTAACATTGAAAACTTGCCCAATAAATAACTATAAATTTACACAACTTTACACAGGCGGAGCCCCACACGGGGGCCCGCGCTGGAGGTTTTCATTCCTTTTTTAAATTTAAATGTTATTTTTCAGTTGGAGTGGGTGTATACTATTATATCAGTTTCAGGTACACAACGTAATGAGGTTTATATGCCTCCTGAAGCGCCAGTCGTGGCTCTGAGGCGCTGTGCTCTGCGGAAGGGAGGGAGGCGCCTGGGAGAAGCAGCCGACGCCAGGGCTGGGCAGGGGCCGCACAAGATGAGCCTGAAACGTCTTGTACCAAAAAGCAAGGATGTGTTTGAATAAAGATGGGGACATGCGGGAAGATGACCCGCGCGGACGTGCACCACTGAGTGGATTCCAAGGGAAGAGCCCAGAACATCATTTTGGTCATATTCTGGCCAAGGACGCCGACCTGTTTGTGGGAAACACATACCCAGATATGATGCGGCTCCAAACCTACAGCTCACTCTCGAATGGATCAGGGGTTTGAAAAAGCAACAGGTGTCTTCTAGTGCACTTGTAACTTTTCTGTAAGTTTGAAACTGTTTCAAAATTTAAAAAAGGTAAAGAGTAATGCAAAGCACATGCCGACAACTGAGTGAGACAGGGTCCTAGCTGCGTAACACCGCAACCTACCCTCACCTCCGGATGTGTGCACGTGCGTAGATGTGCATGTCTCTCTTCGGCTGAGTGTACAGAGAAACGTGGCCTCCTTTGTGTAAGTTGTACACAGGTGACCGTGGGTGACAGCAGGGACAAAAAGAGAAGGAGGTGTCCAGCTTAAGAAAAAGCTGCATTAAAAATTAAAAACATGCAAGTAAGTAATCACCATCATTCACCTAACAGGAAACGGGGTGTGCATATTCATTCGCTATGGCGGCCGGAAGCCAGTGCCAGAGCACAAGGGCGGGGCTTGCCTCACAAGCTCACCTCCTCACAGTGCTGCGGGGCGGAGGCCCAAGGTCGAGGTGCCGGCAGGGCTGGGGTCCCCCTGGGAACTCTCCTGGACTTGCAGGTGGCTGCGCTCTCGCTGTGTCCTCTTGCGGTCTGTCCTCTACGCACACATGCATCCCTGGTGTCTCTTTGTGTGTCCAAATGTCCTCTTCTTGTAAGAACACCAGTCACCCTAGAATAGAGCCCGCCCTGATGGCCTCCTTTTAAGTCAAAATCCTCTTTAAAGGCTGTATCTCCAAATACTGTCCCATCCTCAGGTGCTAGGGGTTAGGACCTAAACCTGACGTTGGAAAGGACATGATCCGTCCCATATGAGTATGAATATGCATGTATGTATGCACACATATATGTGTGCATGTGTGCATGTATGTATATATAAAAACAACTGATCATCCCGTGTGTTCCCAGTCCTCGCAGACATCCATTATGACTTCTGGACATTTTGTTGAAAGAGACTTCGTCATGTTTGCTCTTAAAAAAAAAAAAAAATTTTATAGGGTTATGTATTTCCTGAGTTTTCTTAATTCCAGTCGAAAACAACAGCGACCCTGCTGCTTCATTTGAGGTTAACACAGCCTTGGTAGAACACAGGGGAGGGAGCAATCCCCCTCCGACAACGGGATGTTTGTGCCATGACACACAGAGCCCTCTTCCCTTTGGGGGGCTAATGGCTGGAGATCCAACGCGGGCCTCTCCACGACATTTCCTTTTCTCATGACATGTATGCCTTCGCCCCATCATCTCTTCGTCTTGTACATTGTTCTGAGAGCTTTCCAAGACAATTTCGCCCCGCCCTGCTCTTCGGTCTCACCTAATTCCTCTCCCATCCCAAAGTCCCACAGAGCCATGCTGGATGGACAATCCCACGCAACCTAAGGAAGGAAGAGGCAACACCATCCTCAAAGCCTGGTTCATAACAAGAACGGCCTGCGTGTTCTCCCGAACGCCCAGGGCGAGTTTGGTGGTGCGCTGTCTTACTCCCCTGCTCAAGCTGCCAGAGAAAAGAGAAGTGTTTTTGATTGTTTGTTTGTTCTAGAAATCCCTCTGATAACCTCGGGTCTCCTTTTTTCCCCCAATCACCCTAGATGGACGTGCAAACCCCGAGGCAGGCGGGAATAAGCTCCCCTGCAGGGCCTCTCAAACAGACCAAGGCAGACCAGGGACCCGTCGCACGTGTCTCCTCTAAGTAGCCGCTGCATTGTGAGTGCGGATGGTTTGCAAGGGCCTGGAAGAGCAGGAGCCAATGGGTTCTGGAAACGTAGCCCCTGTGGGCAAAGCACAAAGAGCACTGGCCTTGGTCTAGTCCCAGTCTGCTGTGTCCTCCCTGGGTGACCTCACTGGTCCATCTTGCCACCTGTGTCCTGGACAAGGGCGCTGCTTCTGTGCTCACTGGATGGCAGCAGCGTCCTAGGTCACACATGAACGTGCCCCGTGAACGGCAGAGCAGCAGGTAAGAAGTGGCTGAGTGTCCCAGAGACGGGGAGGCTGGCACGGAGCCAGGAAGTTTGGCTTGCCCCTCAGACCTCAGATGACTCGCTGGGAACACGGAGTCATCACCCACACAGCTGGCCACTGCATGGCCGAGCTACCCAGGGGACAGTCAGCCGGCGTTTTCCCAGGATGCTACGTTATCCCGCTTCCTGTCACAGAGACTGAGAAGGCCGGCTCCCCGGGGGACCCTGCTCAGTGAGGCGGGAACAGGGGAGCTGAGCTCGCAGTGCCTGGGAGGTTTAGATTAGAGACTGGAGATTTTCCTCAGGCCCCTCCCAGCCCCCAGCCCCTCTGTGAGGGTCTTCCTCCTTGTGAAGAGCCCATCTGAGCGGCCTCGGGCTCTCCTGGGGGCTCAGCAGCTGTCCCCTGTCTGG